AGTTTCCTCTTTCTCTGTACAAAAAGGAGGTGGTGGCAGTGTGAAGAGTTAATTGCGTAATTAACCTGACCCAGTAACAATCGCTCTAGGCTGCAGTTACACATGTTGTGGTCCATTAGCTGGAAAATCTGTGTGCAGGGTGCAGCTGGGCGTGACATTGTTACGCACGTGACAGCGCTATTTTAGATTGGCTAGTCCTTCGGTCACGAGTTTGGTGAGAAGGGCTGGGGTCTGACGCCGCGATCGTCACACCTACCCTCGGCTAAAGCTCCTGGACTCGACGGTCTTAGTGCGGAATTCTACAAATTAACTTCAGGATTCATCCCAGACACTCTGCATCATGTCTACAAGGCAATGTGGGAGGATGGCCCATATCTTCCGACTGGCTCCCAAGTGCACATTAAGCTCATAGCTAAGGAAGGGAAAGATCCACTGCTCCCAGGATCATACCGAACCATCTCTTTAATCAATGTAGATGCCAAAATACTTTCCAAAATCATGGCATTCAGGTTGGCTCTACTGCTTCCCGAAATACTACATTCGGCCCAATCCTGGTTCGCTGGGCAACACTTAACATCCGCAAAGTACTATTAGCCCTGAACATGCTAAAACAAACCCAGAGATAGATCTAGCACTTATATCCTTAGACGCCTAAAAAGCCTTCGATAACATCAGCTTTGCTTGGCTCTTCATGGTTATGAAGAGGATTGGTTTCTCGGTACCTATTTTGGAATTTTTAGAATGCATGTACTCCTCATCCACGGCTAGACTAATCACATCTGACTTTATTTCCTCAAGCATTTCCTTGACCAAAGGCACTAGGCAAGGCTGCCCGCACTCCTCCCTCCTCTTTTATATCGCCCTTGAAACTTTGTTCAGATGGCTCAATTCGACGTTGGGGGTTACTGTTGTCACGATTGGCAACCTTACTCTCCGCTCAGCTCTCTTTGAGGATGATATACTACTATTTTCCTTGGATCCACCCAAAGACTTCCTACTACATCAGGACCTGTTTGCGACCTTTCGTAAGTGTTCCAGCCTTAGAATCAATTTCGATAAGAGCAAAGTACTCCCTTTGAATGCTACGGGCAAAGCACTGGGTTCATTCCTCTCCCTTTGGTATAGCTACTCAATCCATCACATATTTGGGCATCCGCATAGGCAGAGAACCATTGTCTCTCTATTAACTAAATTACCCTCCTTTAATCAACAAGATTGTACAGGAAGTGGAAGTTTGGATGACTCTTCCCCTTTCACTCTTTGGGAGATGTCAGCTTTACAAAATGGTTTCTTTTGCAAGACTGCTCTATCCTTTGCAAACACTCCCTCTTCTGTTAAAACATTCTGATGTTCAGAAGATCCATAGGGCTCTACAGACCTTTCTGTGGCAGCATAAGAAACTGCGTATTGCATTACAAAAGCTTAGTCTCCTAAAAAGAGTGAGGGGGGTGCAGGGCCTGCTGAATATTAGATTTTACAACCTGTCCTGCCTCCTCTGACAGAGTCTTGATTGGATTACTGGGAAACCCTGTTATTTAAACTACTCCCTAGAAGAGGCCCTGGTCTCTTGGCTACACCTTCCAACCATTCTACATTCTAACCTCAAGGCCTTACCTCGATCCTTCCAATCAAACCTCCTGATTAGAGACACAGCATTGGCCTAGAGGGAAATGCGAAAACTACTTGACCTACCGCCAACGATATCCTCCCATCTGTCTATTCTTTTAAACCCTATGTTCCCTTCAGCGAGTGAACATGCAGCATTCAATCAATGGTCTCATAGTGGACTTAGTAAAGTCATATCTATCTTTGATGATACCAAATGTATCTTTCAGCCTTTTTCAGTACTAGCTGCCAAATACTCCCTACCGGGAGCTCTTATCTTTCACTACCATCAGCTGGTGACCTTCCTCAGGACGTGCTATTCTCCAGAACAATATCCCTTCCAGTGCACCTTTATAGAAACTCTACTACATCAGGATAATTATTCTATCTCAGCAATTTACTCTCATCTAATCTCACACCAGTCTGCAAAGTACCATATTACTCTTTTTAAGCCATGGACTCCCATACTGTCTACTGATGATGCTCCGGACAAAACATTGTCGGGATACTGGAAAATTTCTTCACTTGTCCTCTGCAAAACATGGCGAGAAACTCAATTTAAAATCATCTACAGAGCTTACTATCCTTTCTCAGCGAACCCAGCGGTCACTCCCCGCCCTACGTGTCCTTGGTGCAACCACACCCGACCTACTTTTTTTCATCACCTTTGGGAATGTGTGTGAGTTTCCACCTTCTAGGACCGAGTTCTTTGTTACATTAATCATCTGTATAACATCACTTTCACCAAAGACCCTATGCTCTGTCTCTTCAATTATCAAGATCCCAAGATGTCAGCAAGTCCAAATGCTCTTCCTCAGTGGATTCATATTTGTTTGTTGGTGGCTCATAGTACACTCCTGCAAGCTTGGATACAGACAAACCCTCCACAGCTTAAAATGGTAATACAGACACTACTGCCCTATTTAATCTGGAGAAGCTGGACACCATTACCCAGAATGTTTAAATTTTAATGTCGCTTCTTCTCTAGATGGCGGCACTTCAAGGAACACTTCTTTACTCCCGTGGAACTGGCCACCCATATGTAACTACGATTGCCTAACTCCTCTCATAGCCCCACTCCACAGCTCTATATTTCCCATGTAAGGCATGTAAGTCATGTAAGGGAACCCATGCGCCTCCATATGTTTCTTAGCCCATATGACACTCTTTCCCAGTTGTCTTTTTGATAGAGGTGTAATTGTTCAGGCCTGTATAACCAAACTTCCAATCCTAGGGAATTGCTTAAAAAAAATGTTTTCTTGTTTTTCGGTCTTGGAATTCAGCCTATGTTGTACTGATTTGTTATGACATTGATGTCTAGTTGGATACTGTCTTTTGTTTCCATTACAGAAGTTGTATTGACTTTTGTACTCACCACTGTTAAAAAAAAAAAAAAAAAAATGGTTTACAGAGTTGTATGTCAAGGTATTTTTGTGCCAAGCGTATACAATTCAATAAATATTGTTTCAAAAAAAAAAGACAAAAAAAAAAAACTCTACTGGGGGGGGGGGGGGGGGGGGGCTGGGCCTTTGTATTCTGACAACAGGGAGACTAAATTGACCAGCACTGCCAGTTATACCCAGCAGCACTGATCAAGTGTCAAAAATCTGACAGGGCGGTTGTACAGAAGTCAATCAGTACATCGACTTCCGCACAGCCATCCTGCCCATAAATGGATCGAAATTCAGCTGGAAGATTATTCTAATATTTACTGGAGTAGCTTTTCAGCTTTTGGTGTCAGCTGCCTCCTTACTGGACAATAAAGCAGCAGTGAAAAGTGTCTGACTCTGGGCCTATTCACACTATAAAACAACATGCTGCATTGCACGCAGTTTGTGCACTGAGGTGTGTTGCATTAGGCAGCCTATTCAAAATGAATAAGCAGTCAGTATAAGAAACTGCTTTTGTATTTGTCAATACTTTATTAAAGTACATATAAGCTCTAGCAATAAACTCCTATTATTTTCTCCCTTTTGGTCTGTTAACTCCTTGCTGCCACTGCACTCAGCCCATTAAGCAGATCTAAATGCTGGAAGGTGGATGCAGGCTTCAGATTTGGGAATACTGTGACTGGCTGGCATATCAGTCACAGGATCAGAATCTCTTGATCACTAGTTTGCAACAGGAGCTGCCCAGGACATCTTAGTTACTTGCTGGGAGTGCGCACTCAGCACAGAAAAGCCATTCCTTATTGACACACATATGCAGATGCTCGGCGTTAAAGTATGCATACAGCTGGTTGGAACACGTTAAATATACTATTGAAAGTATTTTGTCCTATCTGTTTGATAGGCGCAAAAAAATACTGGTGAATCCTGCTAGAAATTCTGTAAGCTGATAACTTCCTGTGCTGCACTCTTATCAGTTAGCAAGCACTGCTCACAGTTCTCTCTATGCACTAGAGCACACTCCCCATGCTATGGAGAAAAAGAGAGTGGGGTGTACTGTAGTCCTAACAAACTTCCTATCCTAGGGTGATACTGTATCTTCTCCACTAATATAGTATGAGAAGTTAGTATTGTCACCCTAAACCTGGCCAAACACAGAGCAAAATTTGCCCTCCTGCCCAACATACTTCAACTGAAAAATCAAAGAAGCCGGGAGGAAAATTGTTCGCCAAATAGTACCTACATCCAATCAGATGCAGGGACTGTTTGAATAGTCTGATAGCTGTTGATGCTTGTTGTCAGAATACAAATCCGCAGCGGGAGAGCCAAACATTCATCCACGTAGTTTATTTTGAATAGAGGAATCTCTTAAGGCAGGAAATGTATTTGCAGAATCACGATGTGAAAATATAGGGGGGACAATCCTAAAAACAATCTAAGTTAGCCACCACATCTGAATCTCCAATAAATTATTTTTTATTTTTAATACAAAGTAATGAAGTCACATTTGATTAAAAGTTTTTTTTAACCATTAACCACCACAAACTGTAGATGAACTTTTACAGACATGAAACTCTGAGCTGAGAGAAGGTTACACTATCATCTATCATGCTGCTAGCTGTCAGATCAGGATATCATTGGCAGCTCCAGTCAACACTAATGATCGGGAACTAATCAGTGTTGTTTCTAATCATGTGAACACACAAGATTTCTTAAAAAATAAACCTGTCCAGTACCCAGCTGTCATGGTATTTCTTTCCGTTTTCAAAGAATGTGGACTACCCTCCTACCCCAGTCAAGCTTTCGGACTACCCACCTCCTAAAGAAAACAGTACCAGTTTTACTGTAGCAAAGAAAATTAACTTCGTTCAGATCAACTTTTATGCCGTGGTGCTGTTACCACGCATTGATAACACGGCCGAATGGAAATCATGAATTATATTAAATAAAGAAAAGCACCCCATTGCATACTTTCAGTAAATGATGTTCCCAAAGTATTAGACTTACCCTTGCTGAGTTTATTATTCTCTCAGTGCCATCACTAAGTGTTTCAATAACCCTTGTATAAGTCAAACCCAACTTGTCAGCCAAGAGGCCATCTTCCAGGTTTGTGCTTGGAATACCTATCAATACCAAACACTGAGTTACTAAAACATACAATATTCAATTACCCACTGGACAAAGAAAAATCATCTTTGAGATGGCTTCTATTGCTGTGCTTGTCACAATAATTTTTTGATCCTTACTCTTACAAAAAGTGACACAGGTGAAGTACAGGTTAATGCACTATGGGCACAATAAGGACAAAAGCATGGCTTTGCACGTACATTCATTTTAGCACTTTATTCATATACATAAATTCAGTTCTGGCCTTTAGTTAATATTGATGAAATCAAAAGTGCTGTGTACCAATCTCTAGTAACTAGTCACCTTAGCTTTCACCTCAAATACACAGGAATTCTATCATCTGAACAACTGCTATACGCTACAGTAAATTTTCATTGTTTTTACTGTTAAGATAGTAAAAACAGTAAAAAAAAAATAAACTCTGCAATAGTGCAAACTGCAGCAGAGTACAGTTGCCAGTAATAATTATTTATCAGTACAGTATATGGCAGTCAGAATGAAGATGTGTGGTGATTGATTCATACATGTTACTTCACTTTAAATACTGTTCTCTGCCTTATGCAATGATGACCTAACAAGTCTTCTCTGTGTCCTCTCTTTTCTGAGAGGGTAATTTATTTGTTTTAGTTATTCTGCCCTGAAAAATTCCAGACCCATTTACCAAGTACAAAGGCTAGTCATGAGTCCCTGCTAACAATCTAAGAGGGTCAATTTGGGTGGAGGGTAGTTCATTTACCACTCTTTTTTTTTAAAGGCGAGTACAACTATGTTTTTGGGCTGTGGTAGAAAACTGGGAAATCTGGAGATACCCCTGTGCAAATAAGGCCATACTAACACATATACCGTATTTTTCGCTCCATAATATGCACCTGACCATAAGACGCACCTAGGTTTTAGAGGAGGAAAACAAGAAAAAAAAATATTCTTAACCAATGGACTGCAGACATAGTACAGGAAATGATCAGAGACTGCAGACGTAGTACAGGAGATGACCAGAGACTGCGGACGTAGTACAGGATATGACCAGAGACTGCAGACATAGTCCAGGATATGACCAGAGACTGCAGACATAGTACAGGAGATGACCAGAGACTGCGGACACAGTACAGGAGATGACCAGAGACTGCAGATATGGTACAGGAGATGACCAGAGACTGCAGACATAGTACAGGAGATGACCAGAGACTGCGGACACAGTACAGGAGATGACCAGAGACTGCGGACACAGTACAGGATATGACCAGAGACTGTGGACATAGTACAGGAGATAACCAGAGACTGCTGACATAGTATAGGAGATAACCAGAGACTGCAGACACAGTACAGGAGATGACCAGAGACTGCGGACACAGTACAGGAGATCACCAGAGACTGCAGACAGTACACGGGATGACCAAGAGACTGTAGACAGTACAGGGGATTAATAAGAGACTGCAGACAGTACAGGGGATGACCAAGAGACTGCAGACAGTACAGGGGATGACCAAGAGACTGCAGACAGTACAGGGGATGACCAAGAGACTGCAGACACTACAGCGGATGACCAAGAGACTGCAGATAGTACAGCGGATGACCAAGAGACTGCAGACAGTACAGCGGATGACCAAGAGACTTCAGACAGTACAGGGGATAACCAGAGACTGCAGACAGTACAGCGGATGACCAAGAGACTGCAGACACTACAGCGGATGACCAAGAGACTGCAGACAGTACAGGAGATGACCAGAGACTGCAGACAGTACAGGGGATGACCAAGAGACTGCGGACCTTTGGGGAGGGAGGGGGAGTGGGTACCTGAATTTGACAGGTACCTGCTCCCACTTTTGCGGAGTTGTCCTCCCTTTAGTGTAGGCACCCCCGGCTGTCACAGAAGCGTTGAACTTTGTGAATGGTCTGGCGTCTTCTTGGACCTGTCGGGTGTCACAGCCGGGTGCCCACACTAAAGATGCTGGCACCGGAAGACTGTACAGCGCTGGACAGAGGAACGGGTAAGGTTCTGCTGCAGAGAAGAGCCGAGCGGCCGGCCCGGTATTCTGACACGGCAGCTGCGGGAATACCGGACCGGCCAGTCCATATTCGCTCCGTAAGACGCACTGACATTTCCCCCCCTTTTTTGGGGGGAAAAAAGTGCGTCTTATGGAGTGAAAAATATGGTAGATATAATTTTCCTTGTGGGAAATGAACCTAACCCCCCGTGTTGTTTCCGGTGCTTGTATTACAGAATTAAAAAATGCCTAACAGGTAAGAGACATATATCAGCGGAGGAAAAAAAAAAATATATCTCATCTTAAAGTTATTGTAAACCCCTATATACCCAGTGAAGTGACTGGCCTCAGGTGATACACAGAGAGGAAACAGATCATCCTACATAAGTTGTACCCGTCTATCTGCAGTCTTCTCTTCTCTACATTTGTTCAAAGTCCTTCGTTTCTAAAGCTTGTCTGAGAGTTCAGAAAAAAAGAGGGTGGAAAGCTGAAGTTACACTCCGCAGAGTTCAGTGAGAAGAGCTCTGAGAGTTGATTGGACAGAGGAGACACCCCCCCTCCACACAGCTCACAGGAACAGAGCTGAGGCTGTCAATCTGCTGGAAGTCCCTCCCCTGTCACCATTTTAATCTTGGTGTCAGGAAAACTTGTAAGATATGGTTCATGCTTAAAGCAGAGGAACAAAGCAGCAGATAGAAATTATACTTAGTGTTCTTAACTGAGACAGGTACACACTATAGAGGGATCTGCTTTTTTTCATATTTCATGTCTGAGGTTTAAAACCACTTTAAGTCAATGTATTAAACTTTAACTTACCAATTTTACTGTCTAGATAACCCTCAAATTCATTTTTTTCAGAGATGATGAGAGGTAGCTCTTGCTTAGTAAATACATTTATTGCAGATACACGAGTGAGGCAATCTGAATTCACAACACAAACAGAAATATTAAACATAAATAAATTGATATCTCACATGCAAATGCAACATTTTTACATAGTGCTTACTAGCTATAGCATGACTCCTCCCTTATACATTGTCTATTTACCCATTTTATTAAAGCATAAAGAAATAGGAATTTTCTACTGAACTGGCACCGTTCTTCTTGTACCATAGTGTCCAATAGTACAATCCAACTGTCACTATTTCACCACACAATTACGTTGTAGTTGCTATAGGCAGCCAAACATATATTTTTTTTCATATTCATTTTATTCATGAGGCCTAATAATGCATAGTTCTGAGCATGAATATTCCATTTTAACTGTATGCAGGCACTCATATATTCATTATGCTACTGGGCAGATCACAGATATTACTATGGAGCCCAGGAGGGCATCAACACATGCTATTTTTATCATCTTCAGAGACATGGAACCAAATCATTATTTAGACTTTAAATGGGAATACATTTTCACAATAATTTCTTATTTCAATGGTCAAGATCCACTGTCACCTCTGATCACTGACATTGACAAAAATTCTCCTTTTCTCACCTTTGCCTGCTGTGAAAGACTCCTGCAGGGCTCCTCTCACACTGCTACCACCATGCAGCAATCTATGACTTGGTAATATTGCAATGTGTGATGCTCCATAAATAGCTTCTGGGTTGAAAGCATAAGACGGAATAATTTCTCCGGTTTTCACATTGTCCACCTGCAAAACAATAGAAAGAGACAAATAAAGTTTTACCATAAAGCTGGCCAAATGCAGAAGAGTGGTTGGAAGCATGTACAGACACAGTGTGACAGCCTTTGGGCACTTTGGCTGCCTGCTGATTCTCTAAATGTGAACAGTCATCTCAGAGTTTAGCCTCTTTAGCAGCTTCACACTCTGGTTCAGGTGAAAAAGTCAGATGACCGTTTTAGAACTAGTTTGTAGCCTGTTTATGTAATGTTTTCAGGCACCTTGTGCCCTAAAGGCATCTTTCCACAGATTCACTGAAAATGTGGAAGGAAGAAGTAGAGGTAATATACACAGCAACCAGTCAATATCCAACTGTTCTTTTATAAACTGAATTTCAAACTGGACTGAGGTTAAAGTGGAAATTAACTCTCCAAAAAGGCAAACAAAACAAAAACACACCAACAGACAGAAAAGACCAAATTGGGGCCAAGGGTTAGGCAATAGGGAATTCAGTTTAATGAACTATGATTTAAAGCAGCACTGAGACCATCAGTTTAACGGTTTCCTAAAACAGTCACATTCAAGGCATGCCATGAATGATAACTGTCCCAGTTGCTTGTGCTCTCAACCAAACTGTTGAGCCATCAAATGTCACAACTGGTCACGTGTGCAATTGCACATCAAAGCAGAGTCTAAAATGGCAGCTTCCTTGGGTGTTAAAGCGGAGTTTCACCCAAAAGGGGAAGTTCCGTTTTAAAGATCGGTCCCCCACTCCCCATTAAGGATTGGGACCTTTGGGGAGCGGGGGGGGGGGGGGGGGGGAATGGGTACCCGGATTTGACAGGTACCAGCTCCCACTTCTGCTGCCTAGGCAATTGGAAACAGAGGTTGTCCTCCTACCCTCCCTCCCCGAAGTTTTGTGGGACACGTGACAGGTCCCAGAAGAGGACGGCGCCATTCAGGAAGCGCAGCGCTACTCGCGCATGCACAGTGCGAAGCTGCAAGCTGTCACAGCCGGGTGCCCACACTGAAGATGCCGTTGCCTGGAATACAAAACAGCCGGTGAAACGGGCTGCGGCGGGGGGGCAACACCAGATCATGGGAGAGGTGAGTTGCTGTTTTTTTTAAAAGTCAGCAGCTACAGTTTTTTGTAGCTGCTGCCTTTCATTTTTTTACAGAGAGAGTGGAACTCCGCTTTAAGGATAGAAGGGCTTAGATCTGCTTTAATATCCCATTTTGAATCATATACCTATAATGGATACTAGTAAAAACATTAAATGAACTAATAGGGAAGATCTATTGGATATGTATTATTCGGGTAAATTATGAATGCCTGCTGATGGAAATATTGCAGTAAATCAGTACACAAGAAGAAACTGACATCTGCCAGCTAGTGTCACTGTCTCAAGGCTTGTATTCTGGCTATGAAAGCAGTAGGGAAAACAGTTGGATAATGCTTACTGTCATTAAAAATTGCATACCACTAGCTGTTTCACCCAAGGACAGCACAAGAGCAGGTTTCCCTGTAGGCTAAGGACAACAACAATCTTTCTGCCAATGCATCTGATCTTCAGTAGGCTGCACTCCACAGTCATATCCTCCTTACTGCTTCCTGTTGTGATGGAAATATCCACAGCCAAGTCTGAAATGTCAAGAGCTGCAGCAATACAGTTTAAATAAGGGTGGTGGGAAATGTTCACAATTTAACTTTTTTCAATAAATGAAAGCATAGAGGTGTGACGCTGTTAAATGCAGTTACACATTGAAGTTGCCAGTTTTACCATATTTGGTGAACAGAATATTAAAATCCGATTAACCTTTACCTTTAACATGAAGTCAAAGAAGCAGCCAGTACAATCACCAATCCAGTTGGCCTGCATGCTTTTTACCCCATACCATTCAGGTAGATCAGCCAGAGCGTCCTGCATTGTCTACAATAAAAAAAATTAAAATACTTAATGCATATTCTATGAATTAACACATTCCATTTTCAAACCTGCTCCTTTGGACAAAAGTGAGGTTTCATCTGGCAGCTCTTATATCTCTTAAGATACATAACAGCAGTAAAATATTTCACTTTAAAGTGGTTGTAACCTCAGATGTGAAATGAAAAAAGCATATTCCTCTATAGTGAGTACGTGTCTCAATCCAGAGCACTAACTGTCATTTCTGTCTACAAGGAAATGGAAATCCGGAATCCGCCGCACACTTCAATCTTTATTGAATGTAGATAGAATCATCATCACAGACAGTGTCAGGAACAACAAGGGTTAACACGTTTCACGCTAAAGACTAGCGCTTATTCATAACCTCTTAACAACAGAAGGGACTAAACTACAAATATATCCTTTGTGTGATTATGCAACTGCCCTCACCTTAAACTGAAAGCTCCACCCAGCCATGACAGCAAGGACACCTGAAATTTCCTAATACAAAACCATAATCCAATTACTCCGCATAGTTTCTCAGCACCTCTCAAGACTTAACCCCCAAAATTCATTAACGATGACAAAATTCCCATATATTAGCTATAAAATTAAATGTGTATACTCAATAAGCAATCACATAGGGGTAAATGTAAGGAGGTGATAAACTCAAATGACCCACTCATCTATATGGCATTAACATATCTAACAGAATAAGGACCCTGTACAAAAATGAGTGAATAAAAACACAGCAGCAGCAAATATAGCAATATACAGATAAAAGCAGACTCTCAGCCACGTATAACCCACATATGTCGTGCGGATCAAGATGTGAAGATATTTTCACATTACATAAAAGATGACAAATAAGTTATAAAAGGGCCACATAAATATGAAAATCTGTTTACATATAAATATAAAGGTGGCCTTCACTATAGATCGGATGGAATGCACATTCTATGTATGGGGATCCATATACTTCCATGTAATCTGAACAAGCTTGAGTTTTGAGGCTGTGGATCTGCTTATATACATTGTATTTGGACAGTATTATGTGTATTTGGGGATCTTAGCCATTATACCATTGGGATTTTGGGTAACTTGTTATTTCTCATCTTTTATGCACTTGCACTGTAAGGGGGAACCCTGCAGATTCTGATGTAAAGGAGAACTCTGAAGACTCTGATGTAAGGGGAGCTCTTGTGTAAGGGGGGGCTCTGGTGACCAGAGACTCCTTTACATCACAGTCCGCAGTGTTACCCTTTAAATCAAAGTCCACAGCATTCCCCTTTACACATATAAAAATCGGCTCCCCTCTAAATATAAAAATTCCCCTCCCCTCTAAAGCACGCACAGATCACTGCCATACTTACAAGCCCTCGCTGGACCCCGCCAGTCTGAACAACTTAAGACCCATCTCCCTGCTTCCATTTACCTCTAAAGTCTTAGAACACTTAGTCTATGATCGCCTGAGCGCCTACCTTACTGACAACAACCTTCTTGACCCTTTACAGTCTGGCTTTCGCTCACTCCACTCCACTGAAACTGCCTTACTAAAACTTACTAATGATTTTACTGACTGCTAAAACCAAAGGCCACTATACAGTACTCTTACTACTTGACCTCTCTGTGGCTTTTGATACTGTTGACCATCCCCTCCTCCTCAAAAAAACTCCACTTTTTTGGCCTCCAAGACTCTGCTCTCTCCTGGTTCTCCTCCTACCTATCGCAGTGCTCCTTCAGCGTTACCTATAACTCTGTCTCTTCCTCTCCAATTCTGTAGGGGTCCCTCAAGGTTCTGTCCTTGTACCCATTCTCTTCTCCATCTACACCTCCTCCCTTGGTCACTTGATAAAATCCCATGGCTTTAAGTACCTTCTCTATGCTGATGACACACAAATCTATCTTTCTACTCCTCACCTCACCCCTTCAGTCTCCTCTCGCATTACTAACCTACTAAGTGACATATTGGCATGGATGTCACTCCACTTCCTCAAACTAAATCTTTCTAAAACGGAGCTCATACTATTCCCTCCGGCCCGTGCCCCCTCAACTGACTTCACCATCAAGATCAATAACACAACCATCATTCCCTCCCCTCATGCCAGGGTACTACGTGTAATCCTAGACTCCCATCTGTCCTTTCAGCCTCAAATCCAATCACTGTCCAAATCTTGTAGACTTCACCTCCGCAACATCGCCAAGCTACGCTCGTACTTAACCTCTGAAACCACTAAGCAACTTATTCACTCCCTGGTTATCTCTCGCCTTGACTTCTGTAACTCCCTCCTCATTGGGCTACCTAATTGCAAGCAATCCCCTCTTCAGTCTATCATGAATGCTGCTGCAAGACTCATCCACTTTACCAACCATTCAATATCTGCCATCCCTCTCTGCCAATCCCTCCACTGGCTTCCCATTGCCCAACAAATAAAATTCAAAACATTAACAATAACATATAAAGCCATTTATAACCGTGCCCCAAATGACATCACCAATCTTGTCTAAAAATATCACCCAAACTGTCCTCTCTGCTCCTCCCACGACCCCCTGCTCTCTGACTCCCTTGTCTCCTCCTCCCATGCTCGTCTCCAGGACTTCTCCATAGCCCCCCATCCTCTGAAACTCTCTACCCCAATCTATCCGACTATCGCCTACTCTGCCCACTTTTGGCAATCTCTGAAAACCTATCTCTTCAGGGAAGCCTATCCTGCCTGATAACTGAATCTTCTCTTTCTCCTATCAGTCCATCCCCCAGTTATTACTTTTGTGCCACCAGCCCCTCTCTCTTAGATTGTAAGCTCCAAGGAGCAGGGCCCTCCTAACCCTCTTTTATCGAACTGTATCATTGCTCTATTGTCTCCCTTTATATTGTAAAGCGCTGAGCAAACTGTTGGCGCTATATAAATCCTGTAAAATAATAAAAGCTGATCATTGTAAGCACCTCTGTGAGTGCTAAATGGTTTGTCTCAACTATGTAATTGCTAAATCTGCAAGATAGGCTTATTGGCAGGTGAAAATTAAAGAAAGTCTAAAAAGGAAAACTAATACAACCACCACATTCAAGAATTGGTAAGCTGCAATATAATAAACAGTCACTTTTGGGTTTAATACCGCTTTAAGATTTTAATAGTCAATAATGGAAAAGTATGCTGAGCAAACAAGATTCAAATCTGTTCTAAAGGATGGCTAAAACTCTCTTGTAAAGCCTCATGACCCTTAAAGTAATAATATATTATTGATATATTCCTTGTTAATGGACATGTCATAAAATTTATTTTTGAAACTCAATTTACATAAGTTTCTGATCCCAGCCAGGATAAGCTCAAGAATGAATACCCCTATAATTCATACACAAACTAGTGATTTGGTCTGATACCTAATAACCTACTAAAATATATTTAGGCTTCTGGGAAGAATCTGGAGTGCTCAATAAAAGCAACACAAATACAGGTAGCCAATACACACTGCATAAATAATAAAAAGTGCAATGCTGCACTGCAAAAGCTATAACAAACACTGTGCTAAAATAAATATCCATGTAATCAACCTGTGTTGCGTTACAATGCATGTAATATAAGCATACTATATATATACATCAATAAAACAGTGAAACTATACAACTTATTACTCAGAAATGCTGTCAAAAAATAAAGTGCCTAGTCCAAGAGCTATAATGTGTCATAAAGTGATCTTATGATGTGATCGGTCCACCAGAAGTAAATTCCCACTGCAAGACTCCTCTTTACACAATTTGTGCCACCTCTGTGCTCACCAAACTTTCGGCTTAAAAAAAAAAAAAAAGATATGATATAGTATGTATATCATAGTTCATCTGTCTTTCAGCAATCTTTCATTCACACCACCATGGCACTAGGGACTTTCCCCCCTGGATATCCTATTGCCTCCAGTCACATGTGCGGTGCTCTCTTGCCATTCATGCAGCCATGTTTGTCTTGCCCATGTGTTGGCAAGATACCTAAAAGCCTCTTATGGTATAGTATGAAATAGTTCGTAATAATAATTTTATTAAATTAAAAAAAACAAATTGCACTTACACTAAAAACATATCAATTGTGTTAAACACATAGATACCGGAGTTTCACTTCTGTGTAACGTCACTTCTGGTCCTGATCTACCTCCGCTCACTCCCCACAAGTTATGTCATGGTCACGTGACTTCATCAGGGAATCACATTTTTAGTTATTTAACACTTAATCACAGGTAGCGCAGGAGTCACTAACCACAGAATAATATACACTGCATGTTTATTGTGTTCCTGGTGGGATTTAAATCTAGAACACAACAGAAGAGCAAGAGGAAGAGAAAAGCAGTGGGGATGCATCATAAACTCATCCACGTTACTTTGGAATAAACAAAAATACACTAAGCAGCTAAGCAACTGTTGTCTCTTTAAAAAAGATAAATATAAGATACACTGGAGTTTAGGCTGCAATACACATCTTTAATCTGACCCACATATTACCTCTTTGCCACAACGTATCCTCAGTCCTCCGATTTAAATGATGCCCAGCATCACTCAGCTTGGCAGATTAAGGCTTCTTAAGGCTCCTTTCATACTGGTGTGCTTTTGCCATTCTTTTTCCAGGGTGGCAAAAGAGCATGAAAGCTATTCCTCATTAAATCCTATGTAACGGTTCACGCTACAGGTGTGCTGCGCTTTGATAAGTCCTGCATGCTGCATCTTTGATGCAGTTCTTTAAAAGCACACCCATAATGTACCTTCCATTGTAAGTCAATGGGAATGCATCAAAAGTGCATCAGTTTGAAAGGGCTTTTAAGCTGCACAAAAGGGCATCAAAATTGCATCAATGTAAAAGGGTCCTAGGAAAAGACTGTGGGTGCAGAGTGCCATGGCCCAGCCCCCCCCCCCCCCCCCCAAGCATAGCACACTGAACTGCCAATGTATTGAAAAAACATACTGCTGGTGGGGGTCTGAAGGCATCCTCAGGGCAGGAGAGGCTTGCAGGGGCCTGCAGATTACC